AAGCTCTTCATGTTTTTAATGATTTTGTTTCCAGTCCCGTGGGGAATAACCTTGGAGTGCCCTAAGGAAGTGTATTAGAGCCCCTGTTATTTATTTTGTTTGTTTATGATTTTGCGATATTAATCTTTTTGCAGATGATTCTGCAACTAAGGATTTAGATGATGCCGTTTTACACTTGAATGAAGATTTGCGTTCTCTAAGTAGATGGTTGAAGTATAAGCAGTTGAAATTGAATACAAGAAAAACTAACTTTATGGTAATTTCGCGGAATCGATTAAATTAGAACGTCTTTGTTGTAATTGATGATCGCGTATGGGAGATAAAACATCTTGGTGTGATTATTGATGACAACCTTAAGTTCAACTCTCAAATTGACAATGTTATCAAGAAAATTGCCAAGAAGTATGGAGTTCTATGTCGACTGGAAAAAGATTTAACTTTTTCCAGTAAAATACAGCAATACAAATTAATCATCTCTCCTTATCTAGACTTTTGCCCTTCCATTTTATGCCTGGCCAATGCAACACAAATATCGAGATTACAGCGCTTGCAGAATAAAGTAATGCGTTTGATTTTGAGATGGAATTGATTCACTTCCTCAACTTTGATGCTAGAAGCCTTACATGGTTGTCGGTGAAGCAAAGAATTGTATATTTGACGATGGTGTTCATTTTTAAAGTAGTTAACGGTATGCTGCCTCGATATTTGTGTGATTGAATTGAAAGAGGAAGTGACTTTCATAGATATATTACTAGAAACGCGATTGAAATAAGAATACCGCATATCTTGTGTTTCACAAATATCATTATGTTTTAAAGGAATAAATGTTTTCAATTCGATGCCTAGACATATCAAACGTTAAGGAACACTTGCAGAATTTAAAAGACATTGCATTTCACACGTGAAAACTGTCTTTTGAACGGTTATCCAGTGATTTTTTCATGAATTGAAAAATTATGTATCTTGACGAAGTTATCTTTAACAGATTATCTTATGTAGATAGCTGTCATAACGACTTTTTAAAAATAATTGTAGCACTGCAAAAACTTTTTCTGTTTACCACGATGGTGATGATGGGTTTTTAATATTTGATTTAATAGTAGAAGATCAAACAAAAGTAGTCTACAAAGGTTTGAGCCTCGCATGCGTATTACGGATATAGAGGACTGAATTTAAAATTTGATAAAAATGCGATTTTGAAGCTTATTTTAGTTAGTAGTAAGTTTTCTGGCAAATGTTGGGGGTTCATGAGTATTCCTGACATTGTTGAAAATGATGATAGCATCAGATTGCGGGGTTTTTAGTGTAATAGGATGCTTTGTTGATTGTTCATTAACTCTGATTGCTTGTAATAATTATGAATATTTTAGGTGGACAAAAAGGCCAACTAAGAGGTGGATGCCTGAGCTTTTCCAAATGGCAGCAATAAGTACGCATTTTTAGAATTGATAAAACGATCCATAAAATATAGAAAAACGTCCTATTAAAAACATCAAAATGATCCATAAAACATCGGAGAAAATCCCTAAAAAAGTGTGGATGATCCATAAAAATATCAATATTATCCAATATTTTATGTGACATTTAGCAACACAATTGTAAAAATGTGCCGCTCAATTTCTATTAAAATCGTACGAATTACCCATAATCATATTAAAGAAAATCATCCATAAAAAATCAGGTTTGCGCACTGAAAAATATTGGCATGATCCATAAATTAGACGTATATTATGCATGTTTACGACACATTTTGATCCATAAGCCTTGAAAAATTGCTCCACTGCAAATCTATCTAGATTTACTGTCCTGTCCGTGTATTTTAGGTAGAGGCTTATGGATCAAAATTAATAATATAGTGTCCAAAACGTGAATAATAAACGTCTTATTTATGGATCATGACTGTTCGGAATATCGGGATAACCCTGTACCGCCAAACCCAGCGACAACCCTGTGGAAGATTCGGAGAGCTACGGTAACGGTCGGTGCCAGAAATGACAGACGTCACGTTTGATTCAACGCAACTGTGAGTTTATCCACACCATCTTGAACACGTTTTTCAGCTGAATTAAGTTAATTGCCTAAATTTGTTACTTAACCTATCATTTAATTAAATTTTAGTGATTTGTAGTGAACTAGCTGCTGAAGTAGGTTAGCTGAAGGAGGAGTTCGTGAAAATATTGAATTTAATAACTCTATATTTGCTTAATCTAGATACTGCAATTTGATCCTAAAATCTGGTAACATACAATTTGTTCCTAAACGCTATATACTTCATTCACCCTAAGGAACTAGTAAGTAGCTCATTCTGCATCGTTTGCGTGCTTAACTAAAATAATAATTGAATCCCTAAATCCTTAATCTAGTCAAATATTTGTTTAAAGAGTGACGGACGATAACTCTAGGTTTGAAAAATCTACCGCTCAGCCTCCTATCGCTTTTCATGGAGGAACATTTCTTCCTCGAGCACTTTCTCCTTTGCACTTTTCTCCTGCTGAAACTGGTCTAGGGATTTCTCCAGGCTGACCTCATTGGTACTTCCTTTTCCAGATTCGGATCCGGCATCACTCCTCGCACTATTCTTTCTGCTAGGTGGTTTCTTTGGGACAGACTTCTTGGTTCCTTTCGGCACCTTCAGCATATGAGTGCACTTCGAGCACGTCTACGGAACCTCCTTTACAGCTGCTGTCTTACCAGCACAGCTATAATGGGTCCAAAAATCGCAGACATCACACTGGAACATATCATGTACGTGGTCATTGCCTTCACAAAGCGTACAGTTTCGATCGCTGTTCTGTTCTTCACTCAACGGTGGTGTTGATCCCTCTGACATTTTGAGGTTATATCCGATGTTGTTTTTCAAGAATGTTCGGATTAATGAAAGCAACTTGCTCAGAGCAGTCTCGGTTTTGGACAGCTTTAAGCTGAAATAGGTTTATTATAAGCATTAAGATTGGCTTAGACTTTATATTAGTTTAATAAAACCTATTTCAGCTTCAAGCTGTCCAAAACGAGACTGCTCTGAGGAAGTTGCTTTCATTAATCCGAACATGACTATATTTTTAGGTTCATGTCCTTGGGTACGAAAGTGACCCCGTTGGGTTCGTACCACTCCAGGACAACATTTGAATAGTGACACGAAGCTAGATCCAGCCAGAAAATCGTAGGGCCCTCATGTTGCTTCAACAGAGGAAGCAGACGCTTCTGTAGACACTCCTTGAGGTAGATCTCCCCGCTTACAGTCACGAACGGCACACTCCGTTTGCCACATGAGCATCATGTATTTTTTGGCAAACTTTGAAAGTTTCTGCTTCCTTACTTCCACCCGAACATCAAACTTGTGCTGGGCGGTGAAGAACAGTAGCCCCGGAAGCTGCTGGAAGTCCGCCTTGACGTAAGTCTCATCATCCGTGATGAGACAATGAGGCTTCATCAGCATCTGGGTGTACAGTTTCCGGGCCCGTGACTTTCCCACCCTATTTTGCCGTTCGTCACGATTTGGAGCCTTCTGCACTTTGTACGTATGCAGTCCCGCCCGATCCTTGGCTCTCTGAACGAAAGACTTGGACAGATTCAACTTTTTGGCCACATCCCTGACCACAGCATTGGGATTCCGCTTAAACGCTTTTTTCTTTCTCTGTTTGGGGCATAACACCACTGCCACCAGTAATTTAATCTATTGTAGTATATCTCGCGTCCTTAGTTTAGTGCATGTCGTACTACTAAATCACTATTGAGAAATTATAAAGTATTCGGTTTTGATACAGTTGAAATTCTTGCCTTCATCGCAAGGAATCGATTCTAATCGAAAGGTCCCGCTTTTTATACCCTTCGGAGTGTTGGTAACATCCTACATAGGCGCACAACTTTGTCAGTCAAAATTGGATTAGCAACAAAATTAAACAATGACACCGATAATCACCATGCATCAGAACCCTAGTCTTAACCACTTAACTCATTTTTTCCTTGTTTCAAAATCATCCTCGGTGGACAAAGCCGAGTCTTATAACTATCAACAAGGCATAACAAGTAACAAGGACTAAGATGTATTCCTTCGATTACTGAAAAATCCTGTTACCCTACTTTGAAGTTGTCAAGGCTAGGAATCGGTGGTAGATCTTACATCCCGTAACGTACGACGACAAGGTGATCTACCCACGTTACGGGGCTTAAACGCTTTCACGACACGCTTGTGATCCTGATCACTAATAGAATATCCATTCTGATGACATTTCTCCTTGCGTTTAAGAGATGAACTAGCCTATGGCTAAAAATCTCTATAATAAAGAAAAAAAAAAAAAAAAAATTTCTCCTTGCGTTCGATGCTCAGAGTTTCGTAGTAACGTTTAATCACACGATACACCGTTGACTGCACGATTCCGAGTTGTTTTCCGATGTCCCAATGAGAGAGTTGAGGATTTTCCAGGTGGTTGCGCAAAATTAATTCGTGACGTTGCTTTTCGCGTGACGCAATTTTTTCAACTTTCGAAAAACTGACAGCGATAAAAATACAGTGTAAAAAATACGCTCTAAACTACTTCTACCCAAATTTTCAAGAGAAAATACCCAATGGGTAATTTTCTACAGGTAATTTTTTCTGTGATGCAATTTGATGTGGGACACCCTCTATGCGAGCTTTTCATCTAACTTGACACGAGGTCTTTAAAGGGCTGTTAATTAACTACGTAGACAGGTTTTTGGAATTCTTGCCCCCCTGCTCCTGCGTAGACAATTATCCATACACAATTTTTAAAATTTACGTAGTTAATGAACAGTCCCTAGCGTGATCGACACATTGAAATGCAGGCCCAGCAAAGTTTCAGTGAGTTCGCTAAAACAGACTTGTTGGGAAAAAAATCCCTTTTCCGAAATTTTTCGATTTTTCATTTATTAAAAAGGTTTCAAAAAATGCTATCGTCTGATGAAATTAACTAAAAATTAATGGTTGTTTGCCAACACAAAGATGACAAAGATGTTTCTCAAATCAAAACCAATTTTATTTTTCAACTCCTAGCAACTAACTTAACTGGAATCCCTCTATCCGGTCGGAGAACCAAATCCGTTTTCAGTCTCAACTGTCCAAGCGACTTTCCCGGCAGTATCTTGTAGTTCATAACCAGCTTAATCAAGGTGACCTTCATCTCCAGCATGGCATACCGCTGGCCGATACAATTCCGAGACCCCGCACTGAATGGGATGTAATCGTACGGACCTCGGTTCGATTCGGCCATGTCGGAAAACCGCTCCGGGTCGAAACGTTCTGGATCGGGGTATACCTTCGGGTTTCGATGGATGACGTAGATGGGAACCAGGAATTCTTGGCCAGCTTTAACGGTTGTTCCATCTGTACCAGAGAACACAAAATAAGCAAACATCACAGTTCAACAGCAAACCCATCCGCACTCACTCATTTCCATATCCTCCACCGATGACCTTCCGATGAAAGGCACCGGAGGGAAAAGGCGCATCGATTCCTTAATCACCGTTTCCAGGTAACGGAAATCCTGCAACGTCTGGAAGGATAGTTCCGTATCCTGTGCGTCGTTCCCCAGAATCGACACAATCTCATCGTACAGTCGGTCTTGCACGTGCTGATTTATTGCCAGCTGATAGATGGTAAAGGAAATTCCGCTGGTCGTAGTGTCGTGCCCCTAGAGGAGACGAAAGATCTTTTTATCAACACCGATTATCCTCGCCTGCGAAAAACACACACCCACCTCAAACATAAAGGTATCGACTTCCTCACGAATGTCCGCATTGGAAAGGGGTTTACCTTCGACGGTTACATTTAGCAGCAAGTCCAAGAAAGTCATTTTTCTTTTTGAATACAAATTTTCTTCGTTCATGTTGAAATCCACCTGTTCGAGATTGTCCGCCTCCAGCTGGTGGCGCCTTGATTTGATGACCGAATCGGTGAATTCATGAAGCTCGCGGATAATTTTTCGCTGTTCCCAAGCATTTGGATGGAACATGTCGTACAGCAGAGGAGATCCAGCAAGAATGCTTATCGTACGAAGCAAGATCAGCACGGACATTCTCTTCACGTTCTGCACGTAGCGATTGGTTGGATTCTTCTGGGCGTTCACACATGTTCCCATCGATGTTTCTAGATGAAATAATAAATCTGAACTTCTCTCTGATAAATATTATTAAGGACACATACCGCAAATACTATCCAAAGCCATCAGCGTCACGTAATCGTAGATATCGAACTCCTCACCGTTAACATGCTTCCTCAAATTCTTCACCATAGTGTCCGTCTCCTTGTTGAACACCGTGATAAATTGTTCCAGAATTTTGAAGTGAAACGTAGGGGTAATGATCTTTCTCCGTTGGAACCACTTTTCTCCACTGGAAATGAGCAAACCCTGTCCCAGCCAAGGCTCCACGAAGCTGTACAGGAACGATTTCTTGGTCTGCTTTGCCATGAGAACCTTCTCCACGTTTCTGGCGCTCGTTACGTTTATCATGTTCAAATTCAGTACGCTCCATGTGATGATGTCTTCTCCGTGGGATTTATGAAAGCCGACCATGGTTTCGAAAATTCCTGGAAAGAATAATAAGTAGGCAATTCATTTTTAATGCTTTTTAACTTTGGCAAAATGTTAGGGCCTGAGAACTTTGCTATCATTTGATTGTTTTCAAATCGAGGAAAAAAACTAGAAGGGTCTGTGCCTAGGGGCACGAACGGAAGGTTTACGTAGGACCGCTAGTGGACGGAATAAATGTGAAGAGCATTTAGTTCTTTTAATTGATCATTTATTGCACGGCGCCGGTGGTGTAGTGGTAAGCGTGATTACCTCTCATCCCAGCAGGCCTGGGTTCAATCCCAGTCGGTGCCGCCGGGATGTTCTGAGGCATAACTTCTCTGATCACGCCTTCCTTCGGATGGGAAGTAAAGCCGTTGGTCCCCGGTTCATGAGTTGATGGGTCGATAGGTAGGGTCCAGGTGTGGGAGAGCTGCCTTCCTGGCACGTCGGTAGCATTGGTGCTCAGCACGGAAAACAAGATCAACGGAAAAAACAAACCAAAGGAAAAAAAAAAAAACAAATTGATCAATTATCTATTATCTCAACTCTTTCCGTTTTTGAATTGTAGGCGTACCAAATTTGTAGTAATCTTTTTCAAAGAGAAAGTTGATTAAGATAATCAATCAAAATCACTTGCACCCCTGCTTCCAAGTTTGGTTACAAGATTACAACTCTGGAGAGCATTTTGTGTGGTCGTTGGGGGCTTGTGGTTCTGAATATGAACAAACAAGCACAGATAAATTCTATTCCAACTCTTTACTGATGTAAACTTGATGGCCCTGAAAAGGGCCGTTTTATTGAAGAGGACATCCATGGCCACTTACGCTTGGCGTGTTTAGTGTAGGTGACAGCACCACGGACCTTATTTTCCAGGAACACCTTCAGCACACCTCGTAGATCAGACCGGAGATACGTTTGACACCACCACGGCTAGCCAGACGACCAATGGCGGTTATCTCGAAGAACTTTGCGATGACGCTTGGCGCCTCCTTTACCAGACCTTTTCCTCCTTTGCCACGACCTGTCAATTGTTGCTTGTTAGGTGTGAAGGAGTGGACTAGCCATCACCTTCCTACCAACAATCAATACGAAACTAACGATTTTAAATTTGCTCACTACTTGACTAGCCTATTGGTCCCAAGCAAACGATTAACGTATCCCATTCCAGTCGAAATTCTAGTACTACACTATGTTTGTTTTGATTCGCTATGAAAGTTTGTCAGATAAAATGAGGGATTAGTGAATTTTCCTATGTTTCGAGTGGTGAATCGATTAGCTTGGGACCGAAGAGAGTACCAGAGCTAATCCAAAAAGTTGACACGTTTAGTCGACACGTGATCCAAATTTGAGTTTAGTTCACTCATAATCGCCAAAAGTGCAGGAACTCAGCGATGAGTAAATTTATCTCATGGTTTCCTGTGGAAAACCTAAAAAATCTGCCAGAAAATGAGGAAATTGACAAAACATTTTATTCAGTCTCGGAGTAGTACCAATAGACTGAGTGAATCCAATCTTTACTTTTCTCAAATTCGGGAATTTTTCAGTGGAAAATCCTGGAAAGACCTGGGAAAACATGAGGCAAATTTACTCATCGCTGAGTTCCTGCACTTTATTTCTTATTTCTGAGATAACTAAACTCAAATTTGGGTCGTTCTCATTCGCCGTGATATCACCTTGCAAGATATTGGCGCCGGTGGTTAGCGTGATTACCTCTCACCCCAGCAGGCCTGGGTCCAATCTCAGTCGGTGCCACCGGCATGTTCTTAGGCATAACATCTCTGATCACGCCTTCCTTCGGGAAGTAAAGCCGTTGGTCCCCGGTTGAGTTGATGGGTCGATGGTAGGGTCCAGGTGTAGGAGCTGCCTCCCTGGCGTCGGTAGCATTGGAGTTCAGTACGGAAAAGGTCCTATCTACATTGATCGATTCTCTTCATCAACACTCTCTTTCGTAAATAACTCGGCTTCACAAATGTTTCCTGCCGTCTTCGTCGAATTAGATGCTAGATTGTTGCTTCTTCCATCGAAAATATCCGGCCGTGGCGATTAAAAGTTGATCAAGGTTGATCAAAATAATTTGTACCCCTGCTTCCAGTTTGATTACATGAGCATTTTGTGTGATCGTTGGTTCTGAATATGGACAAACAGGCAGATGAGTTCTATTCCTACTCTTTACTGTAATAAGCTTGGTGGCCCTGAAAAGAGCCGTTTTGTTGCCAAAGTTGGTGATGATTTAACCTCCGAAACCAAACAGAGTGCGTCTCTGTCACTTCAAAACGTAGATGACATCCATGGCCGCTTAAGCTTGGCGTGTTTAGTGTAGGTGACAGCATCACGGATCTCATTTTTCAGGAACACATTCAGCACACCTCGTAAATCAGACCGGACATACGTCAGACACCGCCACGACGAGCCAGAATATGGCGATGAGTGTGCAAAATATTACGCAATTCCATCCTCCCTATTCGCACGCGCCCGAGGATTGGTGGCGAATGCCACTTCGACTTGTTTCATCTACTTACTACTCTCTGACGACTGTGCTGGGGAAGCAGCATATGCATGTAGGTAATTGGTGGATTTGTTAGTTAGTTCGACGCTTTTGGACAATGCTGGACATTTACCAGTTTTCAATAGTTTCTTGTTGAAAATCAACATTCAGCATTGTTATCGATGCGTAGCCATATTTCTGATCGATTGGTGATAAAATTATTGAAATTGGACCAGGGGCAGCTGAGTTATTAACGTTCAAAATCTTTCTTAATTTGTTACATGTTCCATTTTCGGTTTTCACAAAGTGTACCCCCATATAGAAATCAAAGACGTAGTCCTACGTCAAAATAATCAGGTGCTGTTTTGGCAACACAACCTCATCAGCTATTACATTCCTCAGATATTTATATAAGTGCTTTCTGGACATTTTTCATGAAATAACACATGGACCTCTAACCCAGTACAATTTGAAATTTAATAAAGCGTTCGATACATTTTATAAAAACAGAAATCGCGTGTTGCCAAAAACGAGAAAGACCGCATTTTAAACGTGGTAAACGCCACGTATGCAGTTCAAGCAGTAACCAGAATGTTACTATGATTGAAAGTGACTAGTGAAGGAAATTGCAACCATCTCGAAATAAATCTACAAAAAGGGCTTGCTTATCGCTCAATACTTTCAGCAAGTTCATGATCCGTTTCTTACCTCGATTTACTTACTGATACGAGAAGAGGTCATTCGCATGGCAATTTTCTTACCCTTAGAAGATCTTTTCTGATCGTTTCCGAACTCAATCCTAGGGGCATAAATTCATCCAGATCTACTCCATCTTCATGGTGACCAGAAAATCTCGAATAGCAAACTCCCGGGTTAAAAATCTCCTAAATAAATAAAAAAAATCAAATAAAGCATAAAACTGAATGCGATTGAGCCGAAGGTTAAATGGGTCATTTCGAAAATAGCAGCATTGGACTGCTGGACCTTGAATTTGGTTCTGCGACACGTTCGCCTTCTTTTCAGAGTTCTTCTAAAATAAGTTTGATATTATCTCTGGAAGTCCCATGAAAACCCAAAAATTCTCGGTAGAACACTCCGAAAAATTCTTTTAATTTGTAGTTAAAATTTTAAACTCTTTCTAAGAATTCACTGGAGCTTCCATTTTTTAAATTTGCTTGAAACTATCCGTAGAGTTCCCATAAAATTCACTTCAAATTCTCGACCAACAATTGAAAAAGGCCTATTAGCTTTTATGAGTAAAACTAGTAATCCCTCTTCCCTGCCATCATCAAATTCTCCCGCCGAGAATTATCTTCAAATTTTGCTTAGAATTGTCATGGAGTTCTAAATTCATTCAATTCATTAAAATTCTCTAGAAATTGGGATTAACCTTTGGAATTTCCTCATAGATATTCGCACAATTATTTTGGAATTGTGCCCTGAAAATAGGATTCTCTTGGTATTTAACACGAATCCTGGAATCCTCTTCACTCTTGGGATGTCTAGTAAAAACTCTTTAAAAGATTTATCTAAAGCTCTCTAGGATTTTTTTTTAGAAATACCTTGGTGTTCTGTATTTTAATTTGTTTCGGAAAAAAGTTCTAAAATTCTCTTAATAGTTGAAGTACTGTAGTTACTGTACTGAGGAGACTTTCAGCCTTGGAAAGCAACTACTGTATCCTGAAAATCTAGTCCAGTCAAAGGGTCTTGAAATCATCATATTTGTCATCTTTCGGATTTTTCCCGCTGACTTCAAATTCCCAGCTTTTGCGGTTTTCCCGGTTCAGTGGTCATTCTGCATTTTACATATGAAACACTTGTTTTTAATCCCATTATATTTGTTTTGACTTGAGCACATTTTGAGAGCCAGCTCCATAAGAAAATTGTTCCGATAATACGCTTAACCAAAAGCTAATTTGCAGGTGGATTCCTCCATTGGGAAATCGTAAGAAAACTGCGCTTTCACCTCCAAAGTTCTGTAAGTTAATTCCATCTAAATTGCAATAGCATGTTGCGGCAACACTAAAACTTCACTGAGAAGCTAATTTTACGAGCTAACCAGGTTTCCAATGATGACCTGGAATACTCAATAAAGCCACTCTATGCTGTCAAGGCAATGCTTGTCTACGTATATTGGAACCATTATTCAATTATAAAAGTGCTACTCCAAGCAATAAAAAAAATCGTCGTGAGCAAGACCATTATCCTAAATTCTCATTTAGTTAGTTCTCTGAGCTAATCAAGCTGTTAAGAACACAACAAGGAACAATATCTAGAAGTATTCAGAAAAAATCTCATCTTCTCATAAAGGCGGGCTTAGACAAAGCAAGTCAGTTGATCAACTCAGTTGAAACCATGCCATTCAACTGACTTGATCAACTCACTTGAACTGAAAAAAGTTAAATCAGGCTCAATTCTTCAAGCCAATTGAATTCAACTGAGTTTATGAATGTCAAAATCCAGCTAAATTCTTAACTATTCTTGGATTTACTCAAGGGTGCTGCAATACGCTCAAGGGATTTATTTTTGTTG